ATATATTTATATCCTAGCCCAGTTATAGGATTGGAAGGATAGTATAGATTTCAAATAAAGTTCAATGTTCACTGTTTGTAAAGAAAAAATATAACAAATTAGTTTATTATTAACTTTTATACACTCGTGTGCGCACTCGAACACAATAAAACAAAAGAAAATATTGTTTAACGCTGTTTACGTAACTTTGCTCCAAAATGACTGTATCTACTCCGAAATTCTAGACTTTTTAGATTGAAACACGCTCACTCGTATCACAATCTGAATTTACACGAATGCTTCTTGGCAAACCGATTCTCTTAACAGTCAGACTACGACTCTTCTAAGCCTCGCTTGGCTCATTCAAATTTTGCAAGTCATTTCGCTGATTTCGCAGCGCCCTTACCCTATCAGTACTTTTGCATAAACATGAGGGGCAATTTTGAAGTATCGATAAATCTGCTTTATCGGCATTTTATATTTTTAATCAGGAGGTCTCTTACACATATTATAATTTACATAATTAGCTGCCGCTTACACATATTATAATTTACATAATTTCGAAACCAAAAACATTTTGTGCAATTTTTGAAAATATTATAGATTATATTGTTATACCCTTATAGAAATTTATCAATAGTAACGCCAATTTATGACTTATTTCGAGTACTTAATCACTTATTTCGGCTACTTAAATTACTGTATATCAGTATTTTAAATACTCGAAATAAGTGATTAATTGGTGTACTAGTGATAAATTTCTACAAGGGTAGAATATCTGTAATAATTAACACTTCAGCTAAATATATTATAATATATCGTGCCATAATCTTGTTATGGCAAAAATCAGCTAAAGAGCATTGTAGTTTTAGAGGCCTAGCTGCTGTATTAGAGATCAAAACCCTCTTTTTTGGGTTTTGACCTTCTGTGCCATGTGGGTTGTGTGTGTATGTGTGTGCGTGCGTGTGTATGTACCCGCGTGCGTACATGATTTTGAATTTCTAATCGCAAAAGAATCTGTACATATTGATTATGCGAAGTATTCAATATCAGTAAATCTCCGAAATAGTATAGTAAAAAATAATATTTACATATAAACAGTTAATAATTGGAAAATCATGATTCTAGTCAGAGTTGTGAGTACATTTTGCATGTAAAGATCACGGACTACTTTAGCATTATCCAGGATGCACCACGTGAAGGTATAGTGCGCCTATACATTTAAGCCATTCTAGCAATGTGCCTACCTCGGACAAATAATGGTCATTTCCTCTTACCCGAGTATCCAAACAATGATTTTTCAACGTCTATTTACTTTGCACTTGAGAGCGGAAATCGACACTTTTTTAACACCCTCCTTTAATGTTGAATGATGCAGTATCAAATATTCAAGAAAACAAATTATTTTTTAATATTGTTGAAAGTCTGTACGTTTTTTTGCCAAAGTATAAAAAGGTGGGAGCTTTTGCAATCAACCTCGCTTACACTGAAAAAACTTTGTTCCACACGATGGTCATCAACGCTAGAATCTTTAAAAGCTTTGAGATATAATTATGTTAGCATAATGAAGGTTCTTACTAAAATAATATTATGTGTGTGTAAGGGGGGGGGGCAAAAAAAACTGTTACGCCACTGGTGGTGTCTCATACATCGGACAAACGAAAAGACATTTAATGATCCGAGTTAAGGAGCATTTCAGCAATATAAAAATGCACTCGAGCAATCTATCTGTTATCAACAAACACAAAATTGAACTCAATAATGATTTCGATTGGGCTAAGCCGATTATTTTGCACAGTGAAAAACATGTCAGAAAAAGAGAGATTGCTGAGGTATTCTTTATCAAGAAAAACAATAACACAATAATTAATTCCCAAAAGAACATCGAGAATTTAAATAACATCCCAGCAAACACCAAATAACAATTATATAACTGTTAGTTATAATTTCTCACTCAACAATGTAAATGCAATATAACACGTGTGTTATATTGTGTCTAATAATTGTTTCTATATATTTTCAAGATTTTAACGTTTTTTGGAGTGACAAAAGTGAAAAAAGATGTCCGGAGCAAAGTCAATATTATATTTTTTGATAAAGCATTGTAAATAAGTCGAAAACATGTAGAGATATTTGGAGTATTAAGACCGCTGCATGGTTGGCTCAGAAACACTGATTTTTTAATTTATCATTATTTAATAAGAAAAGAACACGTCCATATTTATAGTCATAGTCCAATTCTTTTTATTGCTAACATTTCAAATAAATCTTTTCAATGTAAATATTTCAAGCGGCAGCATTTCTAATACGTTTTGGAACATGATACTGTTCAGACTAGAGTCCTATAATAATTATTATAAAACTCTAGTTCAGACTAGAATACAAGCTCGCGCTATTGTTCAGTTTTACGTTAAAAGAACTAGAGTCCTATAATAATTATTATAATAATTATTATAATTATTATAATAATTATTATAGAATTCTAGTTCAGACTAGTAGAATACAAGTTCGCGCTATTGTTTAATTTTATGTTTAAAGTAGTGTAATTAAAAAAAAAATAATATAAAGTTTGTTTATTTTGTCTATTTTTATCACTGTCAAACATGTGTGTTGTAGCTTATATGATCTGCTGAATAAAAAATGTAAGTAGGCTCAAAGCTAAATAATAGATGGTTATAGAGAGATTTACAGCCAGTCAAACACAAAAAACTCGAACTCTGCGAGATATTTGACTAGTTAACTGAGTAACTGTCCATTAAACCGTTAATTTTTTATCTTACTTTCTTATTTTCTGTTGCATTATTCCATAATATTCTCATAACCGTTAAGATGAATGGGAGATATCTAAATATAGTACAAAATTCATAAAAATGATATAGGTTGTTTCCCTTTTTGATACTAAAGCTACTGTCATTGGATTTAATTCACTAATTTATTTAAAAGTTATTGCAATTTAAATTTCCGCTAATTTTACATATATATATATATATATATATAATCTTATAAAAATTAACTGCTATATGATCAATTAAAAATATCGAAAAAATATTACGACGTATTTCAAATTGTTTACATAATTAAAACTTTAAAGAACAATGTTGCATAAAGAACAAGATTATATTAATATTTATTAAACTATTTTGAAGAAAATAACAGTAATTTATTGAAATTGGCCTTTTCTCCGATTACTGAGCATTCGGTTGTGTCAATGCTGGAAACAGCTAAAGTTAGGAAATTAAACTACATATAAACAATTTTCTGAAAGATGTATGTACATATTTTCTATAAGATAAATAGTGTACTTTTGTCTCCGATTGTACCAATTGTATTACTTTTCTTTTTTTCACATTATATTTTGTAGTATGAACCGCCGCTTGAGAGATAAAATCGTTTTGCGTGCTAGTGTACAATAAGTCTGAATCTTATCCTGACGATAAAGAGGAATGAAAAATGTTTCAATTCTGATATACAATTATCATATCTCACGATTAACTGCACCGATTCTATTCAAACTGGTCGTAATCAAAAGTTTGTATTAACATTATATAATAAAAGTGTAGTTATATCTTTTATTACGGTTCTTTAGGTCTTGAGATATTTTAATCGAAATTATTTATTAAATATAAAACTTCGGATAAAATTTAATGACCGCTTATCGTGGTTTCTCTGTACATAGGCAAAACTGTCAACAAATTAGAAAGAAATTCTGAGGACAGGGAAAAGTATCGGAATATTTAATATTACAAAAAAAAGTGCATTCGAAATGTTTTATTTCTTAAATATCAAAATTATTATAATTGGTGATTGTGACTTTTTGTTATATTTTATTTACTCTATTATATGCTTATGTATTAATGCACGTTTTTTATTTGGAAAATTATAGGTCAAATAATTAATTTAAATCTATAAAAATTCAAAACGTGATAATGACATTCAAATCTACGTTATTAAAAAGATAATTATTATATTAAATTAATAAGCAGTAATTTTCTTTATTCTTTTTAAATACAGCAGAAAACGAGCGTCGAACAATGTTTGTCAATTGCAAAATATTGTGTATATATATGTATATATATATATATATATATATATATATATATATTTATACATATATATTTAATGTAATATTTAATATATATTAAATTATTAAATAAAATATATTTAAAATGTAATAAATGTGTTATTTTAAAAATATATTTTTCCGTTTTTTTATGTTGCGATATTTGATCTTTCATTACCTTATAATGTGAGAGATTCATATGTGTATCTAGATGTTTTATGAGATATCAATTGAGTTAATATCGTACCACTTTTTATTAATTGTCAAAAAGGAAAAACATAATACATAGAGAATATATAATTCAATAAAACATTCAAAGCTTAAAATTAATTTGTCAAACGCAAACAATGTACAGAAATCTATTTTCGAAGATAATTAATCAAACTAAAAGTACATAATACACGATGTTCAATTTTTACGTTAAAAAAATCGGTCTTTATTTTTCTCTACCGTTTGGAAGAATAAGGATAAGAAAAAAGTAAATAAAAATGCAAAATTAATAGCGAAATATAAAGACGAGATTATTGTACAGAAAAACAAGCCTAATAATTAATCATTTTTTAAAATAAAACTTTGCTTGTTTGCAGCGTTTTCACAAAAAAAAAAGATTATATGTATATATAGAAGAATCACAGATTACTAAACTATCTTCCTACTTTTTCTCTCTCTATGAAAGAATATAATAACAATATTAATCAATCAAATCAATTTGAAAACTATTATTTATTGTCTGAATTTACTGCTCGCAAGTTGATAAAATATATCTCAATATATAACAATTATATAATGTTTATAAATGTGGTTTTCTATCTCGTATTCTTAGCAGATAAAGAAGAGTAAATATTCTGAAATCACAATTACGCGTTGAAATCAAATATTTATTTCTCGATTATATAATCGTTGACTATATCATTTTATTATATTATTAATTTTGATCTGTCGCGGTAAAAATATTATCAACTTCGCATAATATTTTATTTTTTCATATACGACAAATATATAATATAACTCAAGATACTTCGATTAATATCGAAAGTCTTGGAGAATCTAGAATAATCTTGAAAAAAAATATTCGAACCTTAAATTATAATAACATACTTTGGACCAGGAAAATTGGATACAAGATGATCGCAGCATTAACGAGAATATATATATGCAATTGTTTTCCCCCTTACGTTTGTTTTATTTTTTAATTATAAGAGCGTAATGCAATTATTTGATCAAAATGCGTCGATGACGCGCTTTTAGAACTCGTTTCTTCTTAATATCTTATCTTACAAGACGGACTTGAAACCTTCATTCTCCGTCTGATACACGCACGTAAGTGCAATCGGCTTCATCTTTTAACACGCGCAGTCGCAGGCGCAACGACGCACGCGTTTTTCACGACGATGAAGGAAGACTTCGTCTGGGACAGAGCGTACAGAACGTGGTTGCACATCTGTAAATAATTAAATTTTTATTTTTTATTGTCAATTTATTATTGTAATACAAGGTGTTTCAACAGGAGTAGTAAATATTTTGAGAGGCTGTAGTATTGATTATTCTATGAGTAAAAAGTTTATAAACATGTGTTCAATTCTCAATAGAGCAACTGGTTCTTTAAATCAGATTATATTTTGGTTTTCAGACACGAATGAAAGATTTATATATGTACAAAGAAAAGTTAAATATAAAAAACGAATTAATCATTCGTATAATAAATAGTGCTGCTTTCATAAAAGACCGACAAAATAATCTTTCAGAAGAACAACACGTACCTACTATTACTTCATCAAGAAGTTACAAAGTGCATTGAGATATCGGCGATGGAATTTTCAAAGAAGGACCACGGTAAATAAGGCCAAATTCTGTCTCGCGATGGAACCTAAACTAACCTTAAAAAGTCTTTCTTAAGATCTAAGAAAGACGAAAATAACCGTCATTTATCCGAGAAGTGGCGGGAAAGTTGTGGAAATAGCGCATTAAGCTGTTAAGCTTAATGTTGCTGGTTTATACTACACATAGAAACTAACAATTTTTCCTGTATTAATTTTAAAAAATTGTATCTGTGTAACCAAAATGAAGTAATTTTTTATTTTTTAAATACTTTTACTTTTTTAGATTTAAAACAATTTTTATTAATTTTTATTAGTTTGTTTTTAAACATTATTCTCATCGTTTTCTTCGGACCCTGATGATTCTATGTCGTCGTAAAAAATATGAGAAAGAGAATGTGCAGGTAAAAAAAATACTATTAGACTTTGATAGTATTTTTTTAAAAGTGCGTATACGATCTCGTCACTCCATGTCCGTTAATTACTTTGTATATGTTTTTGTCGATAAAAACAAACAAGGAATCGAAGCACTTAGTGCTCATTTTTGCAGCTGCAAAGTAGGACAGCGTGGATGTTGCTCCCATGTAGCAACAATCGTTTGGTTCATTGGTTTTGCCCGGTTTTTACTTGACATAAACAAACCTGCACACTCTCTTTCTCATATTTTTTACGGCGACATAGCATCATCAAGGTCTGAAGAAAACAATGAGGATAATGTTTAAGAACAAACTAATAAAAGTACAAAAATTAATTTTTAAAAATAAAAACATTTTTTCATCTAAAAAAAGTAAAAAAGTATTTAAAAAATTAAAAATTACTTTATTTTGGTTACACAGCCCTTATAGAAATGTATCACTAGTAACGCCAATTTATTTCTTATTTTGAGTACTTAATCACTTATTTCGAGTACTTAAATTACTGTGTATCAGTATTTTAAGTACTCGAAATAAGTGATTAATTGCGGGCGATACTAATGATCAATTTCTACAAGGGAGATACGATGTTTTAAAGTTAATACAGGAAAAATTGTTAGTTTCTATGTACAAACCAACATTAAAGCTTAACTACTGCCTATAATGCGCTATTCCTACAATTTTTCCACTACTTTTCTCGGATAAATGACAGTCATTTTCGTCTTTCTTAGATCATAAGAAAGACTTTTTTAAGGTTAGTTTAAGTTCCATTGCGAGACAGAATTTAGCCTTATTTGCCGGTCCTCCTTTATTGCAAACTATAAATTATTTGTCAATTATTTATATGTTCTATTGTTCAAACAGTCAATAAATACAAACAATAAACAAGTAATGCGGAAAAAATTCCGTAAAACCAATCCCCTCATATTTACTATTAATATGTCATTCTACATTTCAACATTTAATACTAATATATTCCGATCGGGTCCAAATTTTAATAGAAGCTGTTGTCACTCAAAAACTTCCATATGCTGTAAATCGGAGCTCGCTAGAATCCTTCTTAGCCGAGAACGAGCGATTTTAAAAATGTGATAAAGAAATTGTTAAAAGCATAAAAGGGGATTAATAATTTGTTGTTTAACCCTTATGAAAAAAACTTAGAAGAATACGAAAAAATTACTGATATAACAATAATATATTATTGAAGAACTATTATTATATCAATAATTTTTATGGGTTTACCTCATAATTATATGTTATAATAGTTTAGTACAGTTTTCTAAACTGTATCTTCGCATTCATTGAATACCCAGGCAAGCGTTACGTCATTTTGACGTTGAATGACGTCGCAGTTGGGTATTGTACACATGTTTTTATGAACTTTTTTAATTCGGAATCAAGATACTATAACTTCTCAATATTTACTATTCTTCTTGAAACATCCTGTATATAAATTTTAGTTATCTTCCTTTCTTTCTTTAATATATATTTTACATCGCATTTTTAATATTATAATCATAATGTAATATCAATATATTTTTATTAATGGATTAAAGCTAGCAATATAAAAATTCAAATCCAAATTAAAGTTTTACTTACAATGCGGGCGGGCACTGTCCTCCTCCTGCATTGGTTGCTGTTGTTGTTGTTGTTGCTGCTGTGGTTGTTGCGGTTGCTGTTGTTGTTCCTGTTGATGTTGCTGATGCTGCTGCTCCTCCTGCTGAATCATCATGTGTACCTCGTGATGTTGTTCTTGTTGCCGTTGCTCGGATTGTTGCTCCGTGGATTGGCCATCAGTCACCTCAGCACGTGCCTCTACCGGTATCTCCAAGGATTCGATTGGTCTTAATGCGAATCTTGAAGTCGGAAAAGCGCGACCCTCTACGACCTATTATTTCAGAAATTGTTCCCTCTTAATTGATTATTTCTATCAATTTAAAATATATAGGAAAATTACTAGTACGATAATTTGGTATGATTAATAATAATATCAATATGATGTTTCCTAAATCGGCCAACAGAGCCAAAGCACGAAAAATTACGAAAAATTAATTGCTTTGTGATTATACATAACCGGATTCTATGTTAGACCTTTGACATGAGTGCTGATAAATTTTAGTTGTTTTTATTTTTATTTTCATATTTTATTTTTATATTTGTTTTTTGCGTATATATGTATCGACTGTGTCGAAGTAGAATACCGCACAGTCGTTAGAGTGATGTGTCACGTGTAACATCGTCTTCTCTCTGTTTTTGCTGTCGGGGTGAGTGTTCTTCCCGGTTTTTAATTTATAATTCTTGTGGATTTCTACGTTTAATTTATACTATGTTGATTAGTGTTAGTAAGGGAGTCACTGCTCTGCTTCCTTCCTGACGATGGTCACCGTTAGGGAGACACTCCGACGGCCGGACGGTTTGAATAGGGAGGAGAATGATATTTAATTTATTTGCGGATTGTATGTATACGAGTTTTATAATTTTCTGATTATACCGATTATCTTTTATTTTTGTTTCTTTGTATTTTGCAGCTACTGAAGAAGACCCGAAGTGGGTCGAAACGTTTAGAATTTAATAAATGAGTTTGATTTGAGATCTCATTTTAATTTATTAATTTGTGCATGTCATCCGCACAGGCTCCGATTGCCGTCGAGATTTTATTTTTATTGTAACACAATAATTCGAGCCGAGATTATCAGTTTTTTATATTGAAAAATTAATTATTCGGAATTGAATTTTTCGTCGCTTCAGCGACTTTTCGGACCTATATTTTCCACGCCTATTTCTCCATATGTAAGTTTTGAGATTAATTTATATATGGAACTTTGTAATCTCGTACCAAGAGGTTTCTCAGAAAAATTTGCAACATTTTGGTACTAATTTCGTGAAAATTGGCCCATAAATGCGCATGTGTGTGGGTGAATGCGTGGGTGGGTGCGTGGGTGGAGGTGTAACACTTGAAAAAACCGCATCGTCGCTATCTCCAAAAAATTTGCAACATTTTGATACCATGTGTTCAGAAATATTGCAAAAAAAGATTTTTTTCGCGAAAACATATCCTCCTCTGAGAAAAAAAAATAAAAATTAAAAAATTTAAAAAAAAAACCCACAGCAGCCACCCCCGAAAAATTTGCAACATTTTGGTACCAGTTTCACGAAAATCGGTCCACAAATGCGGAAGTAGTTCGCGTACATACATACATACATACAGACAGACAGACGGTGCTTATATATATAGATAATATTTAAATTATTAAAATCATATATGTAGAATATTGTATTAAATACGTCAAAGAATCCGCTATTATATGCAGTTCGTTAAAAATAAAAAATTAAAATACTTATATGTATAATGGACCGTTGTTTATTACTTTACCTGGTGGATTATATTGCGAATCTCCACAGGTACGGGGAAGTTTCGCTCGATTTCATCGCCCTCATCGTCTGGGCCTGGGAAAGGTTTTGCTTCCTGTTGCTCTTCACCGCCGTCCGGGCGTTGGCGACCTTCAATATTTCCATGCTCGATCAAATTTCTCACTTCCACCGGAAGTGGGAACGGTCCTAATGGTATTGGTCTCGCGTTTTCCGGGAATGGCTTGAGTTCCTGTTAGCGTTACAACGTATGTTTACATAGATAATAAATACGAATATGTTTGTCACACATAAAGAAGGATGTCCAAAAACTACGATTTTTTGACCTCGAGTGTAAAGTAAAATTCGAGTTGTTTTAGGTCTCATACATTTAAAATAATGTAAAAACCATAGTGGGTTTTCCTGGAAATGCAGGAAACATTTAAATATTTTTATGTTTAAAGAAAATCACGTAAATCAATATTTCACAATAAATCAAGAAATCAAGATTTCTTGATGTTTCAGCCAAATATTTTGGTAAATTTTAGTAATACCAAGTTTCTAAGAATATTTAGAACGGTTTTAATGTCAGTTAATCATAAATTGAATAATATATATACAGGATGTCTCTAAAGTTCGATCTGGGCTGTTTATCTTGGAAACAATTTGAGATATACAAAAAATTGTTTCAAACACAAGTTGTAAGGTTTCGAGAGAGACATAAGATCGTACCATTGATTTGACCTTGAATAGTTATTTGAAGGTCACCTTCAATTTTTTAAATGGGATTACCTATTTTTTATTACATATTCTTATAGACTATCTTAAGAGCTTTACAAAAGTCTATAATAAAGTATTTTCTATGGAGTATTTTTTTAATTATAAAGGTTTGAAATTAACAATTTTTTGACAAAATGTAAAATATCTTGCAAAATATTCAGTTTTTGATAATCATATCTTAATACTGTTTTGCACGGAATAATGAAACCAATCAGTTGGTGTAAAAAAAAACATAACTGCTTATAAAAAATATGCAGCTGCATGTTGAATATTTCATATTTTTTTAAAACAATTATCTGTTTTTTATACCAGTTGATTAGTGCATGCAAAAAAAGTACTGAAAATTGAATATTTTACAAGATAGTTTACATTTTACGTCAAAAAATTGTTCATTTTAAACCTTTATAACTCAAAAAAAACTCCATGAAAACATATTTTAATATAGGATTTTGTAAAGCTTTTGAAATAACCTACAAGAATATGCTATGAAAAATTAGTAATTCCATTCAAGAAATTGAAGATGACTTTTACGTGACCTTCAAATAATTGTTCAAGGTCAAATTAATGGTACGATCTTATGTCCCCCTCGAAACCCTACAACTTTTGTTTGAAATATTTTTTATATAAAAAATTTTATATATTTTTGAATATTTTTTATATTTCAAGTCATTTCCAAGATAAAGAGCCCGGGTCGGAGTTCAGAGACATCCTGTATATATATTATTCAATTTATAATTGACTGACATTAAAATCGTTCTAAATAATCTTAGAAACTTGGTATTACTAAAATATTTACAAAAATATTCAGCTGAAACGTCAAGAAATCTCGATTTATGAAATATTAATTTACGTGATTTTCTCTATACATATGATGATATTTAAATGTTCTCTGCATTTCCAGGAAAAACCACTATGATTTTAACATTATTCTAGATGTATGAGACCTAAAACAACTCGAATTTTACTTTACTCTCGAGGTAAAAAAATCACACTTTTTGGACATCCTCCTTTCTCGAGAAAATTTACTGTGAAGATTTTATATCGAAATTCTTAAATAACTTATATGAAGATATACATTACGTAAGACATATGTAAAGTTATATTAAAAACATCTATTCGTTCGTCTATTGATTAAAACAAAATTTAGTATATAAGAAGGCCAACTAATCGAGCATTATTAGATGATATAAACTAAGTATTTATTCTATATAAGATAATACAGTACAAACGTTTCGACCGCACGCGGTCTTCTTCAGTATAGGAATTAAAAGTAGATGATCATAAGTGATTGTCAGTCGCAATTTTATCGCCGAATTAGTGCATGTCGTGTTAAGTCAAATTACAAAACGTCAGTATATTTCTTACGAATTGATCGCTCTATTGAAATGTTTGGCCGATCCCATAGATTTCATCGTTAGTATGCGAGAAATTATTGTTGTCATAACGCACTATGAGTAGTGAGATATAATAAATTAATAATGTGTCAAAATATAAAAATTGGTCTAAAGTGATCTGTGCGCTTACTTGTAATGTTTGTCGCTTTCCAACTAGACCGTACCAACGTAACATGACCTCTCATTTCCAAATGTACTCATTTTGTAATTATGTGTGTTTATATAGTTTAAGTGTGTTTAGGATTTTAACGAACTGTTTTTCTTGTGTGTTTTTTTTTATTATTACATGTTTGCTAGTTTTTCCAATATATCAAAATAAGATTCGCTAAGCAACTCGGTATCTCTATTTAGGTTTAATCCATTTTTGTTCCTTAATGTGTAACATCTCGGAAATAAGTCTTTTATGATAATTAGTTTCACTGTCTAAAATTTTAACGTTGTCCCAATCAAAAGAATGATGTTCATTTGATATGTGATCAGAAATTACCGAATATCTTGTCGAATCTAACTTTATGTTGTTAACGTGTTCTTTCATTCTAATCTGCAATTATCTCTTCGTTTGGCCCACATAAGAAGCGTTGCAATCTTTACAATTGATCTTATAGACTACATTTGACGTATATGGATGTTCATTTTTATCTTTTTGCGTCTTAATAATTTTATCGAGTTTATTGATACATATGTATCCTGAGTTCCTGACTGTTATATCATCTAATAATGCTCGATTAGTTGGCTTTCTTATATACTAAATTATGTAAAGTTATATTTTGCACGTTCTTTCAAATTACTATTTTACAATTTGACGTAAAACAAACAAACAAACTTACCTCGCGACGAGCTCCGTCTGGCACTTGGACCGGGAACGGTCTGGCTTCGCCAGTGATGTGCTGAATGATATTCTTGATCTCCAACGGTACCTGCTGAATTATTCTTCTAATCTCGATGGGAATGCCCTGGAAAGGTGAACGTGGTTTCTCAGGCGCGACTTGAGGAGGGGCGGGTGGTCTCTGTTCGGTCTGCGGGATTATCACGGGCGATTGATGTATCCTGTGATCTTGAACCTGCGCCTCTGGTTGCGGGGGAGGCGGGGGCATCATAACCGGACCCTGTTCCTGATTGTAAGTATTGGGAATTTGCTCGGCCTGCTGCTGATACATCACCGAGATCTGCGGTTCCTGACGAGGCTCCGGAGCCATTGGTCGCATTCCTCTCAACGGGTCCATCGGGAAATGACGCAGTTCAATAGGGATCTGACGCAGCTCGATCTGCGTCATCGGAATGGAATAATTAATCATTGCGTCAAATCAATTACACTGTTCAACAAAAAATGACTTTTTTCGAACACCGGAACGAGACTAGTTCCTTATAGTTTTTTGGACGCTGAACACAAATCTGTCTTAATTTTAAAATAAAATATATTATTGACTTTCAATTCTTAATAGAAATTTTCGATGTCGGTTATGATTTATGAGATATCCATAGTTGACTATGACGTATTGCAGAAGTTATAGCTGACTAAATATAAGTGAACGAGTTACAAACAGTTTTAAATTATGTTTATTTATTCTTAAAGATCTTTTAGGTCACTAAATACGAATCTAATGTCAAAATTGTCAAAATGGTGAACTCAATATGGCGGATTTGTAAAAATAATTTTTTTAGTTTTTACATCCCCCATATTGAGTACTATTTTGAATTTGACAATTTTGACATTGATTTTATATTTAGTGACTTAAAAGACTTTTAAGAATAAATAAACATAACATAAAACTGTTTGTAACTCATCAACCTAAGTAAATCACAGTTAACCTCTGCAATACCCCATATTCAACTATGGATATCTTATGAATCATAACTAACATTGAAAATTCCTATTGAAGGTTGAAAATTTTAACAATATACTTTATTTTGGTGGCAAGGAAACTTCTTTAGCACGACGCATATTGTAGCTATGACATGATTCGTGATATGACAAAATTCGTGAAAATATAGCTCTATTTTGCAACTTTAATTGCATGTCTCTTAAAATTGTGACGTGATGAAGCAATTTTGAAGACAAATTCGTGTTCAACATCCAAAAAACTATAAGAAACAACTAGTTTCGTCCCGGTGTTTTTTTTTGTTGAACAGTATTATTAACAGATGAATTCTTTATCTACGATGACGCACAAATTTATTTGCATCGCTTTTAACGGACAAGACCCACCTGTGGTCCCATCGGATTGTTCTGAGATCCCATCACGGGCGTCTGCGGGCCCATTCGAGGCGGTCTCATTTCCATAGTTAGTTGGGGAAGATTACGGAGCTCAGATGGAAGTACACCCGGCGGGATGTGATTCAATCCTCGTGGGTCGCTGAGTGGCAATTGCTGCATATCGGGAACTTGATACTGAGTGTGTAACTGATACTGATGATAGCCCGGATTCGGTTCCTGGGATTGGAGGGGAATTTGCACGGTACCAAGAGGCACAATAATTGGAGTAAGCATTTCCTGCTCCTGTTGTCTATAATAAAATAATAATAAAGACGTTATATCACACTGTACTCTATTATTTACATTCTGTAATACGTGTACAAATATTCAATTCCTTCACAAACAACATCACGTCTAAAAACGGGACATAAGACGTCTTAAAGATATCTTATTGACATCTTAAAGACATTTTTATTATGATGTCTAAAATACATCTTAAACTCCTTTAAGACGTCTTATGTCCCGATTTTAGACGTTTTGTTGTCTGGGTTGTTACTGGTTTAATGCTTTTTTTTATTCAATAATCGTGAAAATCCTTTTTTGCAATATAAATTATTCTATCCAGCTGTCAATTTTGCGACGAATTATATTATTGTTTCGGCAACTTAATGTCATTCATTTATTCATTTAGCACCCTGGTCATGCATTCTTCTCTGTTGTTACTTACTCTTGATTCGGACTGCCTGATTCACAAAGGATGGCAACCCGTTCGCCGCTCAGTCTTTGGAAACGCTGCGGATCGGTACTGTTATCTAAACCGTTGTCACCGGTTCCGTCCATCACCTCATCGGCCCGTCGTCGTTCAACCACGCATGAAACTCTGCTGCGAGCTTGCTGAATTAGCGTCTAGAAGATCACAATCGCAATTCAAAGAACGAATGTTAGTATCTATCCAAAACTAGATGCTATAATATCAATAAAATTATATAATTTTTATTATATGATAATTATTATTAATATATGTATTGTATTAATATATTGTGATGCACGTGTATGAAAAAAATAAGACTAATTATTTGTGCAATATAATTGTTAATATATATTTACGCCTGCAATGTCGTCAAGATCCAACTGAAGAGGAAGCTTAATGTGTACGGGAGGGAATTCATCATCATCATAATCGTCATCGTCATCGCTGCTATCGCTGTCAGATTTCGAATTGTTCTCTCCCTCTCCTTTTAGGTCCTTAGTATCCGGATCAACCTCCTTTTTTGTTGGCGCAGCGAGACTTTGCAGAGAATCCTTCGATTCGATGGACTCCTGCAAAAAAACAATCATCTTTAAAATTTGAAGTTTTCATAAACAATAATTTTTTGGAAAAAGAGTTACAAGTTTTATTTATTTGAATGCATCGTTGCACGTCTCTCTTTGCCATTAAAATAACTAACTTTAAAGAAGATGAGTATCTAAATATATGTTTTAATTTTTTTTACCAAATAATTAAACTATAATGTCAATAATTACATTTAATTACAAAAGACAATCGTACACATATGTTACAGATGTTGAAAAAGTTATTTATGTCGACAATACATTAATGTTCTTCATTAATTCTTTCATAACTCTAATATTAATAATTTGATGAAAAGTCAAACAATTTATTCTCCTTTGATAAAAGAAATGGATCATTCTATAACTTCTTATCTTTTACGAGAAAAATCTTAAAAAAGAATGAGTATTCCTCGAGGCTTCGAAAGCTGAACAAATATCGCCGCGGCAATCATCATTCGTTGATGCAACTCGTCTTCCTGATCGCGACATCGGGTCACCAGTGAAAGTAAACTCGCTTTATATTATTGTACTGACTTTGCCAACGATGGAAATCGTATGCGAAGAAGAAAACATTTGAATATAAACGAAACAGTGAGATTTTAGTTTGACTCCGTATGTTATTTCTACGAGAAATATCATACGTACATACATTTGGACAAATTAATGTTATATATAAATTTAGAAAAATATATATTTTTTAAAGTGACAAATTGGTTTTAATAATAATAAATACATAATATGATAGAAAAACGGGATACTCTCTATATAGAAATAAATTGTCAGCTAGCGCAGTTATAGAGGTACGCTTTCTCCGGGTAAAAATTTCATGCAAGCCACTTCTCTTTTAAATCTCATAACCTTTCACAATAATAAGATTATAATAACTGCAATAATGTAAATTAATATATATTTCGTAAAAGCGCATTTTCTTCTCGTCGGCTGCGTTTCTGGGTCTCGTGCAATTACTAGATTTTATGCAAGAGACTCGAGCCGATCCAAGCATGCCATTTTGTCCTGCGCGTTCATCGTATCCGGTAAAATGTCTACGGGTATTAAATTGGAGATTACCGCGAGCGCGGTGTAAATGTGTTGAAATATGCTTCTCCTCGCGAATATCATGGTGCACGGTATCTTTCTTTCGTCTACCTAACGCATAGGCCGATTGGTAATAAATGATTATAGTTTTGTGCAAGAAACACGTGTTGCAACAGCTGTACAATTGTGGATCATAACGACAACATTTAGGATGCCTGCCAACGCAATGAAATGTAGGTATTGTTACAACATCGTAGCGGTTATTTTATTTTTCTTTTTTTAACGAAGTCTTTCTACTGTTCCCATTTTTTGTAAAAAGTAGGAATTGTAAAAGTATTATTTTTAAATAATATTACTTCGAAAGTTGTTATAAAAAATATATCAAAAAATGCTAATATATAAGAATAGAAACACAAATACGAGATCATTCAATAAGTAAAGAAACTAAACGACTGTATAGTTGAAAAAATGTCTAAATAAGAAGTATGATACTTTCAAAACTATAAAAATTATAATTCCTATTATCAATGTAAAATAGTTGTTTGATAATTATTTCAATATATATGTATATAACCTTAAGCACTCATTCAACAATGATAAGTTTTCTCAAAAAATGCGCTGGGAACAATGTTCAGTGATAACATTTCTAAATAAAATTTCTGAGGGTATAAAATCATATAAAATTTACTCCCAGATCAAGCAATATAATAAAAATTAAATTGTTTAAATTTCTACAAATAGATTAGTTCGAAAGTAACCAAAAAAGAAAAAAAGAAGAAAAACTAGGCTGAAAGTTTTATCACATCCGCCTTATAATCCAGATCCTTGCACTATCAAATTTCTTTGTTTAAAAAATTTTCTCTTTACGTAGAGTCAAGTTTCATAGCAACAAAGAAATGAAACTAAATGTCCAAAACTGGCTCTGATTTCAACCCAAAGAATTCTTTTCTGTTGGTATAAAAACTAATAAAACGATGCGACAAGTGTGTATAAACTGTAGCAGGAGATCATGTCAAAACATAGGTATGGTAAATTGTTAGAATAAAATTCATTGAATAGACCGTGTATTAAAACAAGATGCAGTCTCTTTTACGTACACGTATACATTTTTTTGATATTCAATATAATAATTACTAAAGAGCCATAAAGATACGCCAATGTGCTTAGAAGATTTAACTGACAATAATCCAGACGCGAAGAAACGAGAACACGACTAAGCACTTTCCACTCGGGGAAATTGTGCCCAGGATGTGGAAAGGATTTCGCGATAGACCGAACGAGCTACAGACAACCCGTTCAAGTTAGAACGCGGGGAATGAAACGATAAACCGCGGGAACACGCGTTATAACTTACATTGGGATACTTACATAGAGATAGCAATATGTACCTTGTGTATGCATGTCTCCTGTGAAATAAATCGCGGTACCGATTTCGCGATTTATAACAATGAAAAGAAGGAGGCTAAAACGTGACGTGTCGTTCATCTTGCAGTTTTATTAGAGAACACATCACCTCAGAGAACATAGAGCTAGTAATTACAATTTCCCAGGCATCTTTTAACGACTCATCCGAATTAGATGAAAAAGAACGTTCTTTAAAATGTTTAGAGAATGTCTAAAAAGTTTCTAGGAGATTATGATGAAGAAAAAAATGATTAAAATTAATCGAACGGACAATTAAAATCTCTCATACATGAGACTCGTTAATTTATTCCTAGTTAAATATAATAACTTTCCCATTCCTCCGGCAATTAATTTTCCATTTAAATTCAGTTTAGCTCAATTTCAGAGAGAAAAGGCTGATCTACATCGCTTCTCGAACGTTGTGTTCAAAGCGCATAAAATTTCATGTCGAAGTAAATACGATACATATCTTTCATATTATTTGCTACAACCTCTTTCATTTGAGAAGCTAATATTTCTCTATAATATGTACAATAATGATTAGATAGTCAATTAAATCGATAATTAGCGATTATTAATTGTATATCCGTCAAAATCGTCAGAGACAGATGCTACATTTTTTCCATATAGCTTCTTGCACATAAAACGTACGCGAGGTGCAACACGTTGCGCGATATACCTACTTACGTGTCAACTCTTTTCCTAGATTTGCCATATTACAGAACAATTATCCAGTGTATATCGCGATGTGCAACCATCGCGGCACGAAATCCCACAGAAAAAGGGAAACGAGAGCTGTTTCCACCCACTCGGGATTCACGAAGCGTGCGACATAGAAGAAATTGCCATTGTAATTTGCCGCAGCGATGATTCCGCCGTAAAACGAATGGCTTTCTTTAGAAAACGCACCAACTACCTTCGATCTATCAATTAGTGAAATATTATAGTTATTTTATCGTCTTTATAAGACACAGACATGCTGGAAATTGGTGTAGTGATATTTTGAAACAATACGACAACGCGATTTGTTGCAATATTTTCAATCACCATGTCACAGAGAGATTCGTAAACTAAAATGTCATAATTATTGATACGGAAAGATAGGCAAAAATATGCTTTGTCTATTTACTGGTAAAATTATAGACGATTATAATATAGATGCACATTAGCTTTCTTCTTCTCTGTGGCGCTCTCTTCAGCCTTTGTAAAACCTTATCCATCTCTCTACATGTATTTACGGTGTGTGCGCCTTTTTATTATAATTTTTCTGCAGACATATAGAGGGGATCTATACAGTTTTATGCCTATTCCGATCAAATTAAAGAAAGATTTTATATATTGGCAAGATACTCTTGTTTACCACTGCCTGTCAAAAGATGGCGATCGAATACATCTTTTTTCATTCTATTAGCCTATATATTATATATGTATTTCCCACAGCTATATTGATGTTAGTTGCATTATAAAAAAATAGATAATTGAAATTGGAAAAATATAACACTATTTTATTAACTAATTTATTTATTCGCCAGTCTGGTCGACTTTAAACGTTGAGGAGTGGTTTTTTATTAATTTATTTATATTGCCCCATTTACCAATATTTTTATTTCTTATTTTATTGACAATAACTTATATAACCTAACGTGTCAACCCACAATCGCGCACATCGCAGAGCATTATGGGTAACTGTCTTAACCTTCTTATATATAATCTTATTTTTTGTTAAAATGTATTTCTGGTCGGATTTGAACTTTGACCCGGGTTTTCGAGCATAGAAGATCGGATACACAGCTCTTTGTGCCATAACCACACCTTTGTTAGCTTTATTATATCTTTATTAATATATGCTTGTTATTGGGATCATGTTTATGCATCTGTGATTTTATATTTATTACTTACAAAAAATCTAGCTAAGATTAATTCCAAGAATAAATCACCTATTTACAAATAGAAATTTTCATAAAATTACTTACAATTAGATTAGATAAAATTACTTAAATTTTCAAAATTAAACAACTCTGTAACTATATTTTAAGATAATCAAAATAAAAAACAAAAAAGTTAAAAATTTTGTTTTTTGTTCAAAAAGGAAACATAGATTGATTATGTAACACATATATATAATAATATATATTGTATATACATGAGCTATGAAATGCGGTAATATATTTCGTATACATACATATATGGAGTAAATAGCACAGACATTTGAATACACTTAGCATAAAGAATATTTTGAAAGAAGTTTGCGTACGAGCTAAACATATGTCAAGTGTCCGTGTCATTTCCTTCACAAATTAATAAACATGATGCGCAGCGCTTCATCTTAGACGCAAAACGACTCTATTGAATGAACAGAGAAAAGGCTCTCGTCTAGCGATTTATTTATATCACTGATCGACGTTTCTCACGTATAAAAAAGGAAAAGAATCGCAAGCACGCAGACAGAACATTACATATATAAGTAATAAGTGAGTCAGAATTCTATTTTCTATCGATGACGATGACGGAGCATGCGCGAATGACACCACCTTGAATTGATTTGGAAA